ACAGGTAGAGTCTATAAAATAATTATGTTCAAAGATATCATTTATTTCCTGCATTTCAAAGATATTTTCCCACAAGAAAATTATATGATTAATTTCCAGATTTAGTTACTTAATGACTTGTTATATAACCCATTAAATATATAATTTATTATAGATTAAAAAGCTCTAAATTAATGCCCTTGACTGTACATTTACATATGTAAGTTAAGTCAACTTTTCCCCCTCCGTCTTCAATTGCAACTTTGACTTGGTTTCGATTTCCTAATTCGCATTGGGGGGGGGGAAACTCTCACCCAGTTTTTCCCCCACCATGCCACATACATGGCTGCTTCAATTACACAAAAGTCAAGCCTTAACCCCCGTCTTTTTCCCACCAATGCTGGCTTAACCCCTTGTCTTCCTTTTGCCACGAAAGTTGCTGAGCCGTGTCCCGCCGCGTTTTTGCTTTTATTTCACTGCGGCGTTGGTGTGTTTGGTGTTTCTCTCTGACTTTGTTTTAGTTTTTGTTTAGCGAAACAGGTGCGTTTTGCGTTTGGCGTTTTGCAGGTGTTTCCCAAAAGCCACCACCAACGGACAGCTCTGAGCACTGAGCACCTGAGTGTACATATCGCCTGCTTAGTAGTTACGCTTTACCGCTAGTTACACAAATTGCCATCAAGTATTAAAAAAAAAAAAAAACCCTCTCTCTGTCCCCCCTTGTCGATTTTTTTTATGGAAACCGCACCCCCTGCTCCTCATTTGGAGCTTAACCAGCGGCGCCAGTTGCTCATGCGCATTGTATTTCGTGTGAAAATCACAATTAAATGCGATTTTTATGCGCACCTCGGACAAAGTCGTCGTTGGAGTTGCTGCTTGATTGTGGTTTAGCTTTCATTTCGGTGACTTTTTCACTCAGACAGCGAGTTGAGCCAAGGGGGATTAACCCTATAATAACCAGAGATTTGTAAATGGAAAAACTCAGTTGAAATATTGAAATAAATTGGGAATTAACTATGTGGAGATCAGGTGAAGTTAAGCAGGTTTAGTTAAAAGACAAAAGAAGAGGGAATTAACTACAAAATAATCTTTTAATTAAAATACAAAATTTTGTTGCTTAAATAGAAACCTTTTCTAAACTTAAATTCAATTTTTACTTAATACTTCTTATGGATTTACCATTTTCGAATTTATTAGCTTAAAAGATATACTTCTTAAACCAACAAAATTTATGTTTATTACCATATATGTACTTATTTTTAATACATCAAAATAAAAGCATGTTTAATAGGATTAAAAAAGAATTTCTTTATTTGTTGATCACTTTTAATTTTCCCCTTACTTTATATAAGTTAAATTCATAAGAATGATAATTAACTACATAAAAATACATAGAAAACTATAAGAAATGCGCATTTTACTTGAAGTTCCTCTCTATTTGTAAGTTTATTTATCTAAACTCTCTACTTTTTCAAGCCTCTCAATCACTGACAAAGCTCACAAATTTGTGAATATTGACAGAACGTGCTTGGGCATTGAAAAACAATGTTTTTTCAAGCTCCACACATCATTAAGGAAAAACAAAAACCAAATCCTAAGTACTTTTACTAATGAACTAAGGCCTGAATAATAGGGGAATACGTTTTAGACATGTAAAACAAAATTAAAACCCTAAAATCATAGTCGTATAATGTTTAGACATCCTAAAACCAATTTCAAAACTCTTAAACAAAATTTCTATAACCAAGAAACCCAAAGAAAATACTCAAATCTCAAGATATGATGTGATATATGAGTTCCATAATATCAATACCATTTTTCCCACCACTGAAATCCACTCAATTACCAATATACCATGTTAATCCCTATCCTAATCCACCCTCTAATCCCAAGAGGGGGGTTAAAGCCATGAAGGAGGACCCGGCTACAATTAACACTCCGACTCCGATCGGGACGATCGGGAGCCCCGGCTGGCTCAGCTGTCAGCTGCGTGGTTGGAAATGTCAGCTTGACAATTATTATGTCAAAATTTTCCGGCACGGCCATTGGGAAGGCTGAGGCGACGAGGCGACGGCATTCGCAATCTCGCACACAGTTTTCCCGCAGCTGTTGACTGCTACACGAGTTTTTATGGTAATTCAAGTTTCACTGATTTCTCGTCGGCACAGTCGCACCCAAAAAAACAAAACCCGTAAAATCAGAGAGAAAAACCCCCTCCCAAGTCACAAACTTAAGGGGATCGCGCTAATTGTACCTGGCCAAAAGGCTCTATGCGAACCCCAAAAAAAAAAAAAAAAGAAAAACCTCAAACAATTAGCGCATACCACAGAGAGTTGCTTGGAATCAAAGATCGTTGGCCCCCAGAATAAAGTTACATATATGAAACGCACTGTCCCCCAACAATGCATGTGAACATTAGCCAGAGGGGGTTTTCCTTCTCTTTTATCTGTTTTTCCCCTCATTTGCTGGTGATTTTTTTAATGTTTTTTAAGCTTTAGTGCATACCCTAACAAGAAAATTGTAATTCAACTTGATGCTAAATGGAATGGGTAGTTTTTATTGTGATTAAATAATTGCTCAATTAATAATGGAGTCTGGGTTAGAAGTGTTACTCTGACTTGGGTTTAATTATAAAAATATTTGTAAGCTGAAAAGTTGAGTATAATAATTAAAATATTACTAAGCTGAAAGGTTACTTTAACTTGGTTTTAATTTTAAAATATTTGAAAGCATTTTGCAGTTATTAAAACTATAGAAATATGATTAGGTTTAATTATTAAATATTTTTAAACATTTTGAATTTATATAAATTATGAAAATTTAATTTATTTGTAGATGAGGAATTATTATTGCAGTTTTTAAAGTAGTAACAAGAATATTTAACACCTTAAAGGTATTTATACTTAGGCTTTATCCTTTGCATTATTTTTCCCTCAAAGCTTGAAGATTTTTTAAACTATTTCCATAATCTTCATTTAATAAACTTTAATACTTTTTACTCCAGCGTTTTTCCAAGTTAAAGACTGATATTTATTGACCTAAATTCCTTTGGCAGATTTTTTTGTTTGATTTTTCAATAGGTTAGGTATTATTAAGTATTTCGAAAGATAGTTATGTGAATTGTAAAGAAGTTAAAAAGCATTTCATTATTTTTATATTTTTTCCTACAAGTCTAAAATATTTCCAAACTATTTTCATAACATTCATTTAAGAAACTATTATAGTTTTCAATCCAGCTTTTTGCCAAGTTAAACGTGATTTTCTGTAACTTCAAGTAAACTAATCCCTTTTGAATAATTTTCCCCTTTTTAATTATACAAATATTATATCTTAAACCCCTTTTTAAATCATTTTCTTCATTTTAAACTATATAGAGCATTTCAGATTTGTAGAGAAATCTTGTGGTGACTATAGAAAATGTGTATATATTTTCCTGTGTGTGTTTTTCCGCTGGGGTCTCCGATCTGAATTGACATTTGAATGGGGCGGCCTGGCACCGGGTTGCCCCGAGATCCAAGCCTAGACTTTATAGTCGCAATTGCCAATTGGTCATTGCATTGTAGTCGCAATCATTAACGCTAATAGGCAGCCTGCTCAGATAGCTGGAAAGCGTGGAAAACTGTAGAAGAAACGAGAAGGAAAAGCGGTGTGGGAGGACTTTAAACGGGAAGCAGCTGCGGGAAAAACCAAAACTAAATCCACACCCAAGAAGCGGTCAACTGTCGCCCAAGAAAAACTAAACGGAAAAATAAAAGGAAAAATAGTTGGAAATTTTTCCTCAACGGAAAAGTCTCTGTAATGTTTGTAATTCGCACACGTGCAGCAGTTAAGAGAGCGGACCCTTTGGCAATTTTACCTGAACTGTTTTATTTGTTTGGCTGGGAAAACCCCTAATGACAAAGACGGCTGCCCTGGGCTGGGCTGAGGTGAGCTGCGCGTGAGAAAACTCGCTCGCCCATGGAAAACGAGCATTTTCATCCACCGGCATTGTTCTGGTAATTCGTTGCACTTGTTTGCATGGGAAATACGGTTTCCCAGAGCCGAATTTTCCCACCTCCACCTAGCTACTCGTCTTCAGGTAGTTTCCTACGAGTTTCTGGAATGTTTTCTCATCTTAAGTCATTTAATTAAATGTAAGACAGGTAAATTATATATTAATATATATTTTATAGTCTTTATTTTATTTTAAATTGGCAAGAAAATAATCAAAACTAGTTAAGTTTTGATTTCCCCCATTTGGCAGTAAAAATGCATTTGTTGTATTTAAATTTTTTAATATTTTTTAATTTTTGCAATTTATTAAGAGCTAATTGTTTGTTGTTTTATTTTCTTTTTCTTCCTTTTTTAGATATATATTTTTTTCTTTTTCAGTTTTTTTTTTTTTTACATCATGATAGAGGTTTTCTTCTTCCATCGAAATGAGAACAAAAATTATATAATTTTAATCAGAATTGTTTGCTTTCGATTTCGTTAGCGGATCTTCATCAAATCATAATTAAAAAATCGCATAATTATGCTCTAAAAAAACACTTTGTACAAAGTATGCTACAGATCACAGAACATATATTTATATATATATATTTATAGGTTTTTTTTTAGTTTATATATTATTATGAATTATTCGTTTAAAAAAAAGAGAGGAAAACGATCCGGAAAAACTACAAAATGAGGTTTGCATGTGTGTTTGTGTGTGTGTGAAAATTAGTGCCTGGAAATTTACTTTCTCAACTTAAACACTAAAACGTAAATCGATATAAATTAATGAATTTGAATGTGTGTGCTGAGTTGGTTCTTGTTTTGTTTTTTTTTTATTTATTGGCTGCTGGCTAATTAATAATAGGAAAAATCTTGATTTGTTTAAAATTAATAGGAAAATCGTTGGGAGAGAAAGAAATCATAATACAAAAATCGAATTAAATATATAATTCCCATTTTGTTATATTTTTGTATGCTTTTTTATTGCTGATCTCTGTGTGTTGTTTTTTTGCTTTGCATTAGTAACATATATATTATTATATTTTTTTGCGTTGTTTAAACCAAAACAAAACTAAAATTAGGAAAACAAAATTATATATGCTTCGATTAATTTCAAGCGTTTAAAAAAGGAAAAAATTAAATTGTTTAAAGCTTTGCCAAGTTTTCTCTTCATTCATTCTTAAGCGCCATCCTAGTTAATGTTTAATATTATTAATTATTATGTTTACTTGCTTACGATGCTCTAATGCTAGGTGTTTTTGTTTGTGTGTGTTATTAAATGTTTAAACTAAACTCTTTCAATGTGTTTGTGTGTGTGAAATGCTTGAGCCGAGCTCTCTTCTTAAACTTATTTAAATCTCAAATTAAGAGAATTAAGGGAGAGAGTTGAAAGAGAGTTCTGAGCCCCGGCTTTTTATGTAGTTTGTGGTTCTTCTTGAGAGTTTTTAATATATATTTATTTTATGCGGAGATCTTCACACGAAGGTTTGCGAGTGGAGTTGACTGTACTTTAATTATGCATTTAGTTAATAAGTTTATATAGGTTCCATAGGTTCTCCCCACAGCTTACGACTGCCTGCTGTCCTTCTCCGCTGGCTAGAAAGAGAGAGAAAAAGAGGGAAATTTCAAATTAGTATTTATTATACGATTATTATTGGCATACAAAAGTAATTTGTTTATTAGCTATATTTATGTGTATATTTATTTCGCCGTTCTATGTTATCAATTAATTCCCTGTTTGCTATTTTTTTATTATATTTATTTCGCTTTTTTTTGGGTGAGCTGAGAAAAGGGGAAGGGGGCAATAAAGAGGCGCCAAGAAAATCAAACGATCTGTCACTGAGATGGGATTTTTTTTCGTTCATCTCTTGAACACTTGAAAAAATATATTGAATGTATTTGGAAATATAAATTTTAAGTGGGGAAATATACTGCCTATATTAAATTACTTTATTTTCAAATTCAAAAAATATATTTCATGATTTACTAAATGAATAATTTAAATACAATTTAAAAGTCTAAAGAAAAGTTCTTTCTAATTAAGTAATTCCCTCATAAATCCTTATAAAAATATATATTTCCTAATTTACTTTTTAAATAATAAAAATACCCTTTTCAAAATCTCAGAAAGAATTTCTTTACATTTTTTATAAAATTCCTAATGAATCCCTTCTATTTTCTACTACCCAACTTTTTCTTCAAGTGTTCATTCCGTGCTCTCGTCTTCTCCTCTTTCTGCTCTTTCTCTCTCTTTCTCTCTTACTGCGAGGGGGTGCTGGTGCTGGGTTGGAGCCCATAGGGTGGGGGGGCAGGATCCGTTAAGGGGAGAATACAATGTAGAAAGCGACGACCGACTGGCGACTGGCGCACAGCTGCGCGAAAATACAAAATACAAAACACAAAAAAAGAGGAAAAGAAACAGCAAAAACAACAGAAAACAGCCCACAGAGAGAACATTTTGAACACGTGCATTTCTTTTTACAGTTTTCTGAAAGCCCCCATGTGTGCCTCTCAGTGTGTGTGTGTATGTGTGTGCGTGTTTTCGAAAGAATTCTGAGATTGTTGCTGCTGTTGTTGTTGTTGTTGGTGGTGACACATCAAACACACAACAACAACAACAAAAATGGGGCGTGTAGGTTGCAGATGTTTTGCAACAAAAACAACACCAAAAGGGAAATTATTACGCACAGCTGGAGACAGAGAGGGGAGAGAAGTCTCCAAAAAAAAGGTAGAAAGAGAAGGCAATACAAATATTTAGATCATGAAGAAATTTTAACTTCTTTACTTTAATAAGTTATATATTATTAGGACTTTGCAAATTACCTTTACTTTTACTTTAAAAAAAAATCAATAGATCTTTTAACCCTTAACTCAACCCCGTGCAATTAATCAACATTAACAATAAAAGAAGACCGTAAAAAAATATATTAATAACACTTGCCGACGGGGCCACCCAGTTAAGAAAATAAAACACTAAAAAAAACCTTTTTTGACCAACACTCAACCTGTTTTCTTGACTTTTAAACAGATTTTTTTTCGCCAGCATCATTAATAACAACAAAAAATCAAAAAAAAATAAAGAAGCAAAGAAGCTGCGCTAATGAAGTAAGCCAAAACTCAAAAAAAGGCGAAAATAAAAATTAATAATAAAAATACGTAAAAATATCAAGATGTAGAGGAGAGAGAAAGAGAGACTGATGATTCCCCAATTTCAAATTCCGCTTTTCAAGCTCGAATGTGCGTATGTGTGTGTGTGTGTTTGTGTGAAATAAATTTAAGTATCTGCAGGTGCTCATTTAAAACACATCACAACAACACCAACAACAACAACAGAAAACGGCCGCGAGAGCAGGAAAAAAATTAACAGCTACGTATAGAAAACACAAAAGAAAGAAACCAATGGCGACAACAACCGCAAATACATACGAAACGGACGGAAAGACAGTGAGACAGACAGACAGACAGACAGAGATAGACATATAGATGGTACTGAAAAAGTCTCTGTGAAATGCCTTCTATAAAAGCGAAATGTCTCAGATTTATTGTCACAGAAAGTAAAGAAAATTGTTTTTCCCGAGGTAACAAATTCGTCCTTTAAATCGTCACACACACACACACACTCGCTAAAACATTTTGTCAATTGCCTTATGAATGAGGTCACTTCGAGAACAACAATAAAAGTAAAGCCAAAAAAAAAAAAGAAAAATAAAAAAAAACAACTTTGACACTCAATTGTTTTGTCTCCTTCGGCAATTTGCATTGCAAATAAATGCCAAAATAAAAACAATTGCGTTCAAAATAATGGGATTCGATAAGAGAGGAAAATAAAACAAAAAAAATAATAAATAATTCTGTGGTCAGCAGGGAAACCCTTTTACAATTCTGGTACATTTTCTTATCTTTGTTTTCTTAGCATATTTCCTTTATAAATTTTATACAAAACTAATAACTTTTAACTAGAAAAAGCCTTTATACTCTTTATATTTAAATCTTATTCAAATGAAATTACTTTTAAATTTTCTTGATCAAGACAAGTTTTTAAAGATTAAAATTCTTGTAAATACAATAAATTGAATATTTAAAGATGAAATATTTTTTGAAATACAGCCAACAAATCTTTTATCACTTTATAAAAAGTTTACTTATCAGTTTATAGTTATAGACTTTACATTTTTTTATTAATAAGATAATTATTGATTGTTTTAGGTGCTATTTAAAAGAAGAATTTATAGAAAGTAATTCAAATAAAAAGAACAATAACTTTAAAGAAAAATTACTTTTAAAAATAGAAAATATATCCAAACCAAAAGTTTAACTTTAACTTTAATAATAAATTGCTTTTTAACACATTTTCCATTTTATATATTTTTCTTTAGTAGAATTTCTGTTAATTCAAATATGTGCGTCAGATTTTCCTAGTTTTCCTAAGGATTTTACTCTCTAATTGCTCTTTATACCCAATATTATTTTACTTTTAATTTTCTTCCCATTTATCTAATTGTCTATATATCTTATATATTTAACTATTATTTTCCCTCTAAGTTATTTTATTTTTGAACACTTTTCGTATATATTTTCCCTATTTTTCCCCCAATTCCCTCGTAAATATTTTGATTTGTTAACTTACCGTTGCTAAACTGTTGGACAGTTGCTGCTGCTGTGATTGCTGCTGCTGCTGTTGCAGTTGTTGCTGCTGCTGCTGCTGCTGCTGCTGCTGCTGCTGATGAGCGGGCGCCACGAGGAGCGTGTTGGGCGTTTGGCGATCGCTGAGCGGGAGACGGGCGGCGGGACTAGATACTTTTGCCTGCTGTTCGGCGCTAAGACGCTGTGCAAGCACATCCGCCTCGGAGGTGGTCTCTGCATCCGCATCCGCATCCGCATCCTCCATGTCGGTGTCCTCGTCGTCGTGGAGACCATTGACTGCCGTCAAAGCGGCCGCCGCATCAAAGTTACCCATTTCGGGATGTGTCTCCAGTTCCGTTTGGAGATCGCAGATGTAATCGATGACATGCTGGATGATCTCCAGCTTGGACAGTTTGCGGTTCTTGGGCATGAACGGGACGAGATCCTTCAGCTTGGAGAGATACATCTTCATCTCGGCATTTTCGCCGTCGCCGCGATGCGGTGGGTGGCGCGAAATGCGCCCACTATTGGCGCTCAAGGCCGGCATGCCGGAGGCACCTGTCGTCGTCTGGCAAACGGCCGTCAACGACTTCATTCTCGAGATGATTGCTTTACGCTCCTTGAGTAGAATCTTGGCGGTTATTACACGGTCGTACCGGTTACTTGCGAGGTTTTTAGTTTTTTATTTAGTTTATTAGTTAAAGAAATTAAATCTTTATATATTTTTGGTATATCTCTGCGAGTTGCGTTTGTTTTATTTCGATTTTTTAATCACTTTTCACTGTATGCACTTGTTGCAGTTGTTAGAACACTTTAATCCAGCGTGTTATTCGATTCTTGCGATTTATATATTTTCTGACATTAATTTCGCTTTTTTACTCTTTGTTGTGTTGCTGTCGGAAAATTTGGCGCACGAATGAGGTGCTGCGAGCGAGCAGCGTCGCTTTATATAGCCGCACGAAGAGCGCCCGAGAGGCGGAGTCTCCGAGAGCGCAAGCAGACCCGAAGTGTGCGCGAGTGCGAGTGCGAGAGGGATGTGGAGAGTAAATAAGGAGAGAGAGCGAGCGGCTCTGCTGTGGAGAGATGCCATACAGAGCAGCTACTATGGAGACCAGCTGAAGCTGGAGAGGCATACTATGGAGTGAAGCCGAAGCTGGAGAGTGGTACTATGGAGAGAAACCTACATGCACTTGTGGCTGGATTGTAAAAACCTCAATTTTGGAGGGGAAATGTAGAGTTTAGTTGAATGTGGAACACAAACACAGTGTTTGATAAGCCCAAAGCCCAAAAGGGTAAATTTGGATATCTTTAAAGGTTCCCCTATCACTTTATGCAAAGAGGATCCAGTTCTTTTAGATAAGAAAATGGAGACTTTGAAGAAGGCTACAAAACAATGTAGAACTTCAGGAATATTTCAACTTATGATGAAATAAAAGTACAAAATTAGTTTATTTATGAAAATTAATTACAAAAATTATGTATTTATAAAACAAAAAACAAGCTGAAAGTTCTAATTTAATGAATAGTTCAATTAAAGATAAAATAAAAGTAAGTAAGAGGTTCTAGAGTCTTTAAAAAATATTAAATCATTTTTAAATATAAATATATATATTATTATTAAGAAATATTAAACATTTTAATTTCAAAATAATAAAAATTAATATCAATTTAACAAATGATTTAAATTCTGGTTTAAATACATTCAATACATTTACCTAAGATATAAATCTTAAGTAACTTATTCAAATGATTTAAGATCCCATCCACATACAATCTATTCCCCACCATCCACAATTTCTGAATCCACCTCAGTCTCAAACTTCAACTTTGTAGACTACACAAAATCCAAGTTTCCTTTCTACCATACATTCCACAAGATCCACCCCACAGAATCCAGTCATTTGAATTCCAAAAGCGATCCACGGTTCCATAGTTTCCCCTGCCTACACTCTCCACATTCCACACACAACTCACCTTTGTAGACCCGGCTTTGTGGCCAGTTCTCCTGCCAAGTCTCCAATAAATCAGAGCAATCTCTACAAGATGCAATGCATTCGGGTTTTTGGTCAAAGGGGAAAGGTTTCTGTGATTGGTCGGCAGCTCTCTCGCTCGTCAACCCGAACCTTTTTACTCTCAAATTGTACTCTCTCTGGCTCCCGCTCTCCACTTTTTCCCACTCTCTTTCTCTCTCTCTCTCTCTCTCTCTCTCTTGATTGTAGTGTTTGTTTTTCCAATTTTTTTCATGTTTTGTGAATGAGCATGAAAATGAATGAAAAGTGTGTTTTGTGGGAAAAAAGGAGGTTCGCAATCAACACGAAAAGACAATGTGAGCGTTTAAACGAGGGCTTGATTAATTACAAAATGTAATAATATAAATTATTCATAGTTTAATTAAGATGGCAATTGTTTGTAGAGTTACGAAATAATTGTGAAATAAATGTCAAAAATGATGGGAAAAAATTTTATCTTAAGAAAGAGTTTGGTAGGGTTCTTTTAATAATGATTTTTATTTGTTTTTAATCAAAATAAAAGCAGTAAACCTTTTTTGTATGAATTTTTATAATAAAATTAAATTCATTTCATCTTAGATAAATGGTTATTAATTTATTTAAAAATTCATTAGCATATATACCAAAAAATCGAAACAGTAGTCTTTCCAATTTGTCATACTAATAATATGGAAAAAGATAAGCTTTCCTCACTTTCCACGCTTTCCTCCATTCCCTAATCTTTATCAATACATTTACTCAAATTCTTATTAACAAGTTTTTCCAAAGCAGCTTGGCTTATCTCGACTCTTATCTTAATTTGGTTTTCCGATATCACAAACACTCATAAACACTCATGGTTCATATGTTCAAATGTTCGAATACAGAGGCGCCTTGACTTTTCTTCCATTCTCAAGTGGAAGTTGCAGGGTTTCTTTTGGTTAATCGAGAAATTCATGATCATATTACACACACACACACACACATGGGGCACAGATCCATTGAGGAAATTGTGGAAATATTCAATGAAAATGAGGCAGAGTTGTTTGTGAAAAATGACACGTCTCTCTTTCTCACTGATTATCGTTTGAATTGAATTTGCCTTTAGTAAGACGAACCATGAATGAACTCAAATAGCTTTTTATACCCTTGCAGGGTATTATAATTTCAGTCAGAAGTTTGCAACGCAGCGAAGGAGGCACCTCCGACTATATAAAGTATATATATTCTTGATCATGATCAACAGCCGAGTGGATCTAGCCATGTCCGTCTGTCCGTCTGTCCGTCTGTCCGTCTGTCCTTCTGTCCGTCTGTCCGTCTGTCCGTTTCTACGCAAACTAGTCTCTCAGTTTTTAAGCTATCTGAATGAAACTTTGCAGTTAGCCTTCTATATACTCTCACTCGTATATATGTCGGAACGGGCCGGATCGGACGACTATATCATATAGCTGCCATAGGAATGATCGTAAAATTTTTACAAAAAAATTTTTAACTTTTTCAGTTTTCAATAGAATTGGATCAAATTTAAGATATAGCCAGTTTACTATACTCTACAATTTTGTGTAAAATTTTATGAAAATCGGACTAATATATCATATAGCTCCCATAGGAACGATCGAGAAATTAATACAATTAAATTTATAACTTTTTCAGTTTTCAACTGATTTTCATAAAATTTAAGGTATAGCTATTTTATATTAGTCTTAAATTTTGTGTCAAATTTTATGAAAATCGGACGACTATATCTTATATCAAACGATCGTTTGATGTAGAGGAAAAATGCAAATCTGTGTATGTAAAACTGCAAATATAATATGTATAGGTGAATGAAATGAAAGCAGCTATTACTTCATTGTTTTTTAACATAAATATATATAATTTACATTGTATGGATTCCTATTCATAGAAGTTCTATCTGCAAGGGTATATAAACTTCGGCGTGCCGAAGTTAGCTTTCTTTCTTGTTTTATATTTATTTGCTTTTCAGCCTTTAATTACTTTGGTTCATTTGCAAATTTCCCTGGAAACGCAGCACAGCAGTCGCTGGAATGTCCCCAAGATATGTATTTTCCTGGAAATCTTTCAGCGACAAAGGTGTTGCATGAAATACAACAGAAATCCATGTTCCATGTCGAAAAACTAAACTCGAAAATAATTAAAAAATGTTGGCAAAAAAAGGCAAAGGCAAGGCGGTGTCGCGGTGCAGTTCAAATTTCCCAGCAAAAAAATAAATAAATAAAAAATACCGATCATAATTTTATGACCACGAGACGTCGTCTACAGATTATTTCCCTTTTTTCAGGGAATGGAGCTCTGGAAGTAAGCTGGAAGGGAGCTGGAAGGGAGCTGGAACGGAGCTGGAAGGGAGCTGGAAGGGAGCTGGAAGGGCGCTGGAGCTGGAAGGAGCTGGAGCAGAGCTTACTTTACGACTTCAAGAGTGTTTCGCCTGAATGACAAATGAGCAGCAGGAGAACCTTCGAATAGCCAACAACAGGTTAAATACAAAAAGGTAACTAGTTAGTTTAACAAAAAATACAGCATTTAAATGCTCTTTTTAGTCAGAAAATTGTAAAAAAAGGAATATATTCAATAAAATAAATAATAAAGTTCCTAATAACTTTCAAACTTTAGGAATTGTAGCAAATCGTATTAAGGATTAGGTCAAAGATCTAAAATCTTATGAAATTTCCTAATAATCTCCTTGAATTTTACTTATCTTAAATAGTAGTAAATATAAAATGAATATTATTATATTAATTATTTCTTAAATAATGAAACCTAAAGACCTTTAGTTAGTTTATACTTAATGGTATTATATTAAATCTCTTGAAATTGCCTACAATCTTACACATTTATTGATAACGTTGAATGGTAAATATATAGTAAATATTATTATTTAAAATATATATTAAATACTTAAACCTATAGACCTTTAGTTAGTGTATTACGATGTGATTTGCAAGCCATAGAAACTTTGTTGAGGATACCGATGAAGATGAGGATCACATGTCAATCAGCGGGCGGGCGGCACTTGCGGTTGAAGCAACTTGTTGGGGAACTGCAAAAGGGAAGCATATATACATATACATATAATATATGTATATATATATCCACTATATATCGGGATAAGGGATCCTGAAGTATCCCAGAGATGGCGTTGCAGATATGCAGCCGCATGCCGCGCCGCCGCATGCATTGCATGTTGAAATCCAATCCGCGTCACTCGGTTTCCCCCCTCCTCTTTTGGAACACTCCTCCGATCTCTGGGATCTCTCTGATGATCTGCAATCTCCACTATATATTGCACCATGCCGCACTGATTCCATTCCAATACCAGGCTGAGGACATCTAGTTGGTGGACCTGCCATTGAAAGGGTTGCCCGGCAATGCCATGTCACTCTCCGGTGACATCCCATTAATGAATTCGCCTTGGAATTCGGAACAGTTTCAGTTGCGCACTGTTACAAAATTAATGCTAATTCATAAAATATGATATAAAATGTAGTATATTTAGTTATCTAAATAAACTAAGATCAAAGTTATTACTTAAGAGCATTCTATAGATCTAAAGCTAATTTTAAGATTATTATATTATTAGTCAGAAGCTTCAAAAGTAGTGAAGGAGTCATTTCCGACCCTATAAATCATATATATTCTTGATCAGCATCATCAGCCAAATAGATCTAGATATGTTTGAATGAAAAATAAATTTTCGCAATTTTTTTCAAATTTTATAAGGGGTTACATCGTTAAAAAATTTCAAAAATTGGAAAAAAAATTAAATTTAAAAAAAATTTTATTGAGTATGCAGATTAATTAACCTAATAAAAACTAACATGGGAAAGCTTTCCGAATTAAAATTTATCCATTTTTGACTGAGTTACGAAATTTATAAATTTTGAATTTTAAAAAATGGAT